GTTTACATCAAATTCATCGTTTCGATCAATAGAGATAGAAATAATGCCTAATTCTGTTATTTTATCATGTTGATCAGTAATGGGCTGCTATCGTCAGTTCTCGTTTCTGACGGCAATTCCTATCATGAATACCAATCATCATTTCAACATGATCAATGTCCTCATTTTAAATTATACCAAATATTGAAACAGCACGTTTTTTTGTTTTTTACAAGTCCAGTAAAACACACATTATAGATTTGTTTTAAGCAAAACAAGTTTTTTCTTTTTTTATTTTGAGTGATTTTGTAGATATTTCAAAAAACTATTAGCTTTGCAAATGAAAGCAGACCTCACCTTTTGAAAATGACCTTGGAGCTTGGAATGGATTACCCAAACTAGGTAATGCGAGTGATTATTGAAGCAATGCTAGTTAAATCTCCAAATGCTATGGATTATAAGTGTATTAGGCGAGTGAAGTGATAACTCCTTGGAAAGCAAGGTCTGCTAGTAGTCATCTTAATAAAGTTCAAGCCATACTTGTACCAAATATTTACCTTTCCCCAGTCCCTATTAGTTGTTGATGTAGCAGATGCCATCTTGGATTTTTTCTTGCTGGATTTCAGTTTTTCACCAGCTTTGACAACTTCGGTGTCATCATTTTTACATATAGGACAATACCTGTAATTAAATGATGTAATAAAATAAAGATGTTCTGAAATTTACCAGGAAAGACCAGCAGAAATCACATCACCATAATAAATGCAATCTGAATAGCAGTAACTAACAAAACGAATACAGAAGCCATTGTCAATGACGGTCCGAATGTCAGATCACCATGAAATTGCATTTGTGTTTTTCAAATGAATCTGGGAGAAAAATGATGTGCATCAGGAATACATTATGTTCATTACTTGATTTTGATGAATTTTCAGAACTAAAAGGGCCACTAATCAGCCATCATGAATTAAATCAAATACATATGTATTTGTTATGATAAATATAACCCAGCAACAGACAAATGCTCAGAGAGGAAATCCGAACAAGGCTAACGAGAATCACAAAATTTGAAGGTTGTTACAATTCGATTCACTTCCAGGACCAATGAACAAACAGTCCTCAAAGGCGACGAGCTGCAATAATTTAATATATGCACACAAGTGAAAGCATCAAAAGACATGGAGAACATCTATCATGCTGTACGATGTGCAAATAAACTATGAATCTTCAATTTTCAACTGCAGATCTGTAAAACTCATGATTTTTATTTGACGACTCCCTTTCGCAGAACTGTGGTACGCCGACTAGAGCATGCCAAGTAAACTAAATACACAGTTGTCGACCAATGGTCATAAACAGTAGCAAGAACAAAACTGAAACGCGCCCTGGTCAAGTTAACAGTGCATAGCCAGTAAAAATGTACAATTCAGGCTGCACAATAAATATATTTTGCGCATTTGTCAAGAAAACGGCCGCAAGTATTAAGTATGATAAAGACTAAAACAAACAATCTTGGTGTTAATACGTACCATTCCTCAACATCAGGTAGAGAATCTAGCGGCGGATCCAAGCAAGCTAAGTGATACGCCATATCACATTCATCACACATAAGCTGCTTGTTTGGGTCATTCTTTCCTCCACATACATGACATGCACAGTATTTACACTTTCGTCGTGGATTGTCTTTACAACGGTTGCATTCAGGTTGCGTTTGACCTAAATAAAAACCAACACTGCATCATTTATTTTAAGCAGAGTATAATCCTAACTGAATAGTTATGTATTAAAGGACAAGTATTAACAGTTATGCCACGCACTGCAGGCTAATTGTAAGCTTTACTCAGGGGGTCAAAACAGACCGACCCTGCTACCGAGTTCACATGCACTTTTAATACAGCAAATATGGTAATATGCGATCCTAATACAGCTAACTCTGAATAGTTTCTTACGTTTCACGGGAGATCCTTCTTCATTCAACATAAAATCTTTTGGGTTGCTGCTAGCTTCCCCAGCTTTTTCAATTTTATAGATTTCGTCAATGAATAGTATTCGGCAGTCATGTAACATGTTACCCTTTTGACCAAGACAAACTGTACCAAAAATATCCTTGTTATTCCTGGTATCTCTCTGTTAATGATACAATGTATACAAGCAAATTATACAAGGTTCATTTATGCAAATTTCCAAATTTTTCAATTTCCAGGGCTTGAATTTCTAAGTTCAGAGAGCATCCATTCTCAGAGCAAAATTAGATAACATTTCCTTAGCTTAGCGTACAGGAATGGTATAGAAAAAATAAATTAAAAAGCATACTCTTTGGCTTTTGATGCATTCTTATGTTGTGTGACAACACAGGTTATTTTATCATGTTGATCAGTAATGGGCTGATATCGTCAGTTCTCGTTTCTGACGGCAATTCCTATCATGAATACCAATCATCATTTCAACATGATCAATAGATTTACATTTAACAGAATGATTTTTACTTTTAGTAAAGACCAATTACCACCTAAACGCGAGAAATATGTTTGAACAATCTGATACAATTTGGCTACTGCAGAGTTGCAACCATCACCGCTGGCCTACTCCCATCACCGCCTAACAACTACATGTAGTGTTGGTTAATAAACATAACGTAAAGCACGCCAACTTGGGAATAACAAGCTCACATTTTCTGTTCCAGAATCAGCCCTTCAAATTTACATACAAAATAGATAAGCCCACAATCACCCACACCATTTGTTTGAGGGTTTTGTTGATCAATATATCAATGGTTTGAGGTCCAGACCTACCTTATTGGTGATTATTACATCATACCAGTATCCTCGTTCTTGCGGTACATCTGGATTATAATTGGCCATAACAGTCATACCCTCCTTCAAATCATCCCACTCTATAATGGTTCGTGCTCTTGGTCGAATATGACGACTGCAGACATCATTTGTTCCTTCATAACTAAACAAATCACAGGACACTTATAAAACTTGATTCTGATACAACTTAGGATGGAGTTGACATGGTCATTTTTTATATGCATATTGAATTTACAACTGCAGAATTTAAGCAATAAATAATTTGAGATGTTGCAAGGTAAAAAATTCCATCAAAATACCATAAGCTCCTGGTGGAAATTGCAAACAAATGGATCACAAAATGTTTCTTGCAAAATTTAACAAACAAGTCATACAAATAATTTTAACTGCAAAGGTTTGTACCAAAATTAAATCACATTTTGAACGCTCCCCTTCAATTGTTTCATTTCTTATATCCCCTGTTGCATAACAAAATATTTGTAGACAAACCATTTTTGTCACCATCTTACCCTTCCCATGTTACACTGTAAATAAAACCATCATCTGGTTCTTCCTCCGTTTCCACTTCAGGCTTCACCTCATTCCTGACTGGTTTAACCTTCCCATCAGCCTTTGTAGTTTTTTTATCAGCATTTGGTTCCTCGTTTTCCTCGTCACTAGTCCTCTCGGTTACCTTTTTATCGTAACTGAGACTTTTGATATCACAGTGACCATCAACACAGTCACTACTGTTTGTATTCGTGGCAACAATGTCTTTGCTAATGTTTGTTTGGTCTTTGGTTTCCTGATTAGGCTCACAAGCCTCATTCTTTGCAGCATTACTGTTTTTGGGTGTAATTATTTTTAGTTCTGCTTCAAACCAAGCTCCTGATCCGATATCCAGGCAATCAACTATATCACCAACCTAAGCGGAATTGAACAAAATAGATTGTAATGGTTAAGCGTTCTTTAGAACATAAAAGTGAAGCATTCACTATAAAATACTATGGTAAAGCAAGTAAATTGCACATTCTTCACAATCTCAATAGAACATAGAATTGAAATATAATCTAGAATAGTTGCTGTACATGACCTGTATTTACTAGTGACATTGACCGAGGTAAGTATGCCAACCAAATACCAGTAGATACTAGGTAGCAATAGAAACCATTAATATGTTCCATTATTTGGCATTTACATGACAATCTGCTTGAAGGTCCGTAAACCAAAAAAACTATGGATTTTTTACAAGGTAATAGAATTTTTACCCATGCCTTGCTAACCGATGACAACGTTATAAACAAAGGCAGATGCAGATAGCATGTAATTGACCTCTAGTATAGTCTAGTCAAAAAAACATGATTACCTGAGCACCCCCTCGGGAAAAGAGTGCAAATGACAATTTTAGGCAGTCAAATTAGGGGCATTTTGAAGGGGATGGGTGCTTAGCCGAACGTAAACCCGAAAATAGAAATGTCCCAAAATGGGTTGGCGCTTAGCCGAGCATGGGCACTAAGCCAGTCGAGTACGGTACATACAAACTGTCTATGAAACGAACACATAATCAGCTACCTCACTCACCCTATATATGCTGCCTGTTTCATTCTCTTCATTTTCATCGTGGCTTGAAGAAGGACCAGCAGTATCACTTCCAATAGCCTCGCCCGTTTCCATAGCAACATCAGAGCTATCGCTGATGTAGCCGTTACAGTTAGCTGAATTAACAGGAAGGCTAGCTTGCAATGGGAGACACTGACGCACCATAATTTGAACAATTTCATTGAGTCCAACATCGTAATCAAACAGAGTGTGCCCATCTTCTAACTGAAAAACGGATAAGTCAAAAATCATGAAAATACATTTTGAGAAAAATACATTGTAATGAATCAGCTATCTGATATTGGCCCAAACCAAATTTAGTATAACTGTAAGCATCGGTTTTGTCAAGTTATAAGTAAGCTATCACAAACAAAACAGTCTCATGAAAAAACACTGGTTTAAGTTAGTTTGAGCTGAATACAAATTTTGCACTAATGTTGGTTTTTTTTTAAATGATTGAACTGCATTAGAATTATCAAAATACACCACTTTTTAATCACATTTCAAACAGTAAAATTTTTGAGAAATAATTACACTGTAGAATTCATTGCAAACATTGGTTTCCCCATATTCCAAGACATTTTCCCCAAAAAATTATCCAGTAGTTCAAATTTTTTTTAATTTTATTTTTGGTATTCACATAGCATCAACCATGAAAAATATGAAAACGTGAAAAATATGGCAGTTTTTAAATTGGCTTGAACACATGTTCAACACGCGTGATACGGCTACAAAATAGAGATGTAGGTTAAACTAAAAAGCTACATGACATTGCATAAATTTCGAGGGTATGACAGAAAAGCAGGTGAATTATAATCAAACATTACATATTTGTTGGAATACTCAAGTAGTCAAAACAATGAAAATCTACTATTTGACAGGAAGTGGTCACTGAAATCAAAAAGTCAAAGATCAGGCACATTTATATGCAAATTAGATTGATTACATACAATGCATTCCATTAGGCAGCAAAGATGGAGGTGCATTTTTTTAGGAAATGTACACAGAGCATATCAAGCAAAATTTGAGCCGCTTGATTGACTCATTTCCGAATTTGAATAAAATTATCGATGCACATTTTGGAAAAAAATTCTGAGATTCAAACCAAATAAACTAGATAATTAATGAATAAAAATTAGGTCAAGAGAAAATCGGTAAATTCGACTGCCAGTAAACGTTGGCTCTCATAGCATGCAGAGAAACTTTTGAATGCCCTCGTATAGTTTCAAACCTTTGTTTTTAATAATCACGGTCTGGTGACAAAGCCCATTTCAGTTCACTGTTCATGTGGTTGTGAAAAATGGTACGCTTTGCCCACCATTTACAGATTTTCAAAATGGAGTTGTTAGTGTTCATGCAAAAATCACATTACAGTCATTCGCAAAGGCAGAGCAAAGAAAAATGCCCTTGAGAAGGGGGTCAAAAGTTGTTAATATGCAAATGAGGAAAGAGACCGCCAAGTATTGACCTACCACATGACAAAGAATCAAAATGGTTGCACATGTTGGAATTTAAAAAGTGGGATAAAATGGAAACTTTCATTGAGAAATAAAATCTAATGCTTTTCATGTAGTAATAATCATAGATAGGACAATGAGACACTGGATATTTGAAACTTGCACCCATCAAATGAAATCTTTTCGTTAAACATTCAACACCCCTCCCAAGTTAATTAAAGTTTGCTAGTGTGAAATAAACTTATAAAAAAAGAAACTTTAAAGATTACAATGTGCATAATAATTGAAAACAACTTCAGAATCAAAACCGAAAAAATAATTACATTTGCTGAGCACATGTTTTCTCTGTGGCCATTAAAAGTAGGGTTCTTTTGGCGAAAAAGTTAATTGCACAAACTTGATAATTTGAAAAAATTTGACCACAATATTAAACTTGACATCAGTCACCCTTTTCTCTAATAAAAATGATCGTTGACAGGATACTAAAACGCATGACAATATGCAAATGAGTTAATTTTGGGCGAAAAACATCTAACTAAAATTCTCCGGGGAGGGGGGGGGGGGATTAACTACGACACTTGTACAAACATTTGCAGGATGCGCTGTCAAAACTGAAGTGGAAATGTAGTGTTTATGAATATATCAGTTATAAATGCACAATCGCAGTCAAGCAGACCTTTTTTTATAAGAGCATATGAAAATGCAGTCACACACATGTGGACAATTGTAAACAGGAAACCACCCGTCAAATTCACACATGATTAACTTTCTAACTTAAGCAGTCTTGTACAATTACAACGCGGGAAAATTTACTCTCAGAACAAATGTGTGAACGTTTCGTAAAAAATAAATAAAAATAACTTGTATAGCTAAGTATTTAATAAAGGAGGATTTACGTTGCCACGATATGTTTTTGAATATAAACTCAGATTTTGCTTGAATATATATACAATTAGTCCAGCAACCAGTTACCTTACAAAAATGAAAAATCTACTGTATGGAGCCCTGGTATTCGTACCTCACATTACAATTTACATGGACAGATGCCAAATCTGCTTATCATGCAAATTAGCAAAAGAGCAATGGTGGGAGGCTTATTCGGTTGGCCGTTTGAAGCGCCAACACAAAATGGCTTCCAAAATTTCAAAACTGGGAATTTGTAGTCGCTACACCGATCAACTTCTAATTTCACGCAAACCAAGACCTCGCACGTTCAAATATTCTGATCTTAGCACACTGGTTAAATAAATTCTACAGAAAACAAGCTTCATTGATAACAAATAGTATTCATTCGAGAGTTCGAAATTAGGTCATCGACATTCAGAATAGTTTAGCTTGATAACATACACATAATGTGGGACAGATAACCAATCATTATTACAAGTATTAAACAACATTTCTACAAAATTAAAAATTTATGATAAGTCGCAAGAAAAATATATAAAAACTATATACATTTTGTATATATATAAATACTCTTAGTCATTAGACCATGGCAACCAAATGTAAAATCCATTCCAACAAGTTTTGTGCATTAAGCTTCTAAAAAACTAACAATTTTGACCTGAACATTTTTATACAATAAACAATTGTAATACAAATAAATAATAAATTTAACAGGCCATTATTTTTTTTTTATATTAATTTAAATTATTGTAATTACAGGACTTTAATTAAAAACTAAAAAATGCGTAGTGTACGACCTATTTTGCTATAAAAACACGAGGTCCTGAAAAAATGAAGTCTCATCTGGTGCGATTAAAAGCCATAGGAGTTGGCAATTTGCCACTAAATCCGGATAACAAAAACAAAAGGATATCTGCCGTAAATACAGTAACATTTACATAGACCTGTAAACAAGTTTTGTGATGCCTGTCAGTGCTATTATCCATTGATGTGTTAGCAGCACGAGTGTTCACAGTTTCACAAAGGCGATTAAAAGTTAGACAATGACAATGTCATTATCGCCTGTTGACCGCGGGATCTACAAGAAAGAGTTTTATGATCGAATCAATAGCCTAAGTTTGCACTGACAGAAGATTTGTTTTAGAACGGGGGTTACAAAAATGACGAGAAACATGACACGTCCAATGTTAAAGACGAGTGTCGAAAGATACACGCGGTCATTGCCAAAAACATATTCTCGACTGACCTGTTTTCCACGGTAGAAAAGGCGTTGTCTTTCTGGTGGAGCATCGAAGGGGTTTTCCAGTTTAGTTCTCAGCTCCTCCACCTTGGTCAGTTTTGACAGTCCATCCACTTGGATGGACTTTTTACCGTCCATGGAACGCACTTGGATCCACATGGTGACAGCAAAGAGAAGACAATTTCAGCTGGGCGAAAACTCTAACCGTGCACACTCCAGCTCTTACACAGCTGATATACAAATGTAGTATTATTTATACACGTGAAATTCTGGCGGGAATTTGTTCACGCGAGAAATTGCGCGAATCTCGGGCATTGTGATGGCGTTGGCGCACGCGGCGAGAGTGTGTCGAAGATATGATGAATGTTTACAAATACCTGAACAAGTAAACACAATAATAACTTGTTTGGATGATAGATATAAGTAAGTTATTATTTTAATTAAAACAAATAACTTATAAGGGACTGTATGCACAATCTTTCCCATCCCCGTGTCGTCCCGGAAAAGATCAGAGCCACGTTCAAAATGTGTAGGCGGGGCATGGTTTTTAATTATTCATGATTTTGGGGAATCTGCCCAATCAGTTCTGGGCCGAGGAACACAGGGGCTTGTCAACTCACGGTGAAACCCCTTTGTGCTCATTTTGTGAGGGTTTCGGGTCCGTGGCTAGTGACGGCCAAGTGAATTTCTAATATTTTCTTGAATCTAACACGATTTTGTTTTGTTTTTGCGTAATTTCAATTGATGAATAGGCGGTAAGCAATCGCAATTTAAAGTTTAGCTGTGATTGTATGTGATTTTAAGTTATGAATCCGTGGCATATGGTGGCCATCCGTTTATTCTATTGTATAATGCATGGACGTTATTGAGATTACGGCAAAGTGTTAAATTTCAAATGTTGAAAACGGTACACCAATAAAACAAACATTTACACTTTTGAAATTAATGCCCCCCCCTGAGGTGCATACTTATAAGAAATTACTGAAAATAGCAATCTAATGACAGTGAATTGAGATATATTGGACGCAGAGTGTTCAACCCTCAAATGAAATTTGGAATTTTGCTTCCAAGAATTTCCCAATTTTCAATTTCGCAGCAGATCTGTTATGAAAAGTTCGTCCAGATCACAAATACGCCGATAGATACAATGTAAGCATGGGAAACAGAAACTCGCATCGTCCACAGTCGCTTGTAACATAAATACAACTTTTATCAAGCATCGGGACAATGTGTATAAAAAATGACCATTCCTAATACACATCATCATCGAGGGGCGATAATACCAATGTTTGACAAAAGTCTTAAGGGAATATTAAAGCAAGGGAGTCGACACCTGCGCATGCGTCATTGTTTACAAACAAGCGTCTACCCATGAGCCTTTGTGTTTTTAGCGTGTGTTGTTATTTTCGCTTGGGACTTAATTCCCGCGGGTGCACTGGTGACGACCCTCCCGCTTTAAGAAGTATTAGGAGAATTATTGGTGGAAATATAGCAAGCAAACAAATACATAACATACGTTAATTTCATTGTCTGAATTGAGCGCTACTCCATAAATACGTATTCTGAAAGGATGGTGTCGTCGCGTCGCGTTCTGTTCGATAAGGGACTCATGGCGACGTGTACAACGCGTGTAAAATACATAGTTTATTTACATGAAATTCGAACACGGGCTGAATGACGACCACCGCCCTTTAACTTTCGTGTTGCGCCCTCTGCGTCAAAGTTTCTGGATACTTTCAAGTTAGGAAACAGTTTTGTGTTTGTATGTGTTTTCTCTGTACGGTCGCAGTTTTTCATGACTCATAGTAAAGCAAATCACTACCACATCAGCTCACCTTCCAAACGAGTTATACTGCCATTCTGATACAGTCATATATCAACTCCCAACAATTCATGTTTTATTAGGCCACGGTGTGCAAATGAGCACTTCCACCTCAAATCCAGGTGAGTATCCCCCGTCCTTGTAGCCTGGAGTGCTGTGCAGACGTGTGCTATTTGGTGCGCTACTGTAGAGTTATGTTAGCTATTTCCAGATCAGACGGCTACTCAATAGATTTCGACCAAATATGTTACCATGGGATACAGTACAGACCTGGTGCTTATTTGGAGGGGGGGTCGTATTTAGTTATTTTATTTCAATCTATTTGTAATATATATATAAATGTGTTAGAGCATACTGGTTTATGAATTTTTCAAACTTTAATATTAAGGTGTATTTTATTCCACATATTGGAATTTGATAGACTGTTTCACAATGGACATGGGTAACTATCATTTTGTGGCAGCGTATCTACAAATGGCCAATTTCAATTTGTAATTTAGAAATAAAATAAACTGTTTATTGGCTCGCGTACATATGATTCACATAAAATATGACCGGGCAAGTATATACATAATTAGAGTCGTGGGATGGCAACATTCTTCCTACATGTGAGCATATACTTGTTTGGTCGTCAATGGACTTTTGTGCTGAAATTCTGCTGACTGATTATCCTAACTTCTATGAATGCCATTGCTCTTTCACTGACTGTTGGGAATTTCCATTTCCGGGATACATTGATAATTTTATATCATTTTACTGGTGTTTTTTATACTCAAGCGTGTGTAAATGTTTTTCAATAAGGAAACGATTCAATAAAGATTATTTTCATTATTAAAAAGTACAAATACTTCATCTGTTCAAGTTATTTCATGACAATCCCTGGAATAACGTGTGTCAAGGTCGACTTGACCGCGACTGTTCAAATGCGCCACGTCAGCAATCTTGGATCATTGCCAAATCATTAACTAATGCGTCGAAAAAACAGAATAATAGCCGACCAACGCAAAACTTTTTGCAATGTCAGCAAGATTTCAACAGCCACAAATCGGCATGTCTGAACACACACAAATATAAATATACATATGAATCAATCTGCGCATGCGCTGTTGTAAAGTATGAGTGAATATAAAAACATATTGTCAACTGCACACACGCCAAATAACAAGAGGTAAAGTGCCGGTGAAGTATATCGAGTTGTCGGCAACATGCCAAAACGAAAGAACCCAAGTACAGGGTCCGCTCCCGAGGAGAATAGTGTTAAGAAAAAGAAAACTCTGTGCAAAGCGACCTGGATGTGGGTAGATCCTGCCAAGAAAAAGACTGAGTCGAAGCCGGTAGATTTCAAAGCGGTCACCGGTGCCTTATCTCCGTTAATACAACTGACTGGATCCGGCATACCTGGGCGCAAAAACATCGCTGCGTTTGATATTGACGGCACGGTGATAAAAACGCGTAGCGGCGCGAAATTTGCAAAAGGTACGAAAACATTTTATACACTCGTAATTCGTTAGTACATTGATTTGCTAATGTAAAACTAAAGAATACATCCGTGGACAAGTTTGTTTTGTTTTATACGATATTGTACGATCAGGTTATTTTCATGTTTAGGTCAGCACTTTCGCTATCTGAGATCATTGACCTTACATTACCTACTTTCATGTATATATCAAAAGGCAATCATTAATTACTCACCTGGGGCCTGGGCCACTTGGCCGGTTAAGGGACACGCATGTGCGCTCTGAATTTCGCGGAGAAAGGGTATACTTTTCTAAGTTCGCGAAAAACGGAAAAGGGGGTACTTTTTTTAAAGACTGGCAGCTACTCGTAGGACAAGCAGGGATACAAACCAACAAGACCTTGTTTTTTGTTTTTCTTTTTTTGGAAGTTCCCCCAGAACACATCAAATGCACACAGACGTTCTAACAGAACGAGAAGCGTATCATCCCGTTGTTCACTAAAATAATGGTGTTTTTAAAATCCGCATTTCATCAAAAAAAGAAGTAAATTTTTATTTTAACATTAGTGGAAAGAAGTTGTTTCTGATTTTGATGAGTAGTCATATACTATCCTACATATACCCAGCTGAGTGCCCCGGGGAAGGGGTACTAAACATGACATGCTTTCAAATTGTACTTTAAATTTACAACTGAACAAACCTCTCGTTTAATTTTTAGAGATATTAAGAACAGAAATATCAAAGACATAATTTATACCCCAGGCCAGACACCCATTTTCCTGTTTGCATACTGACTACCCCCGAAATGCCGTCTAAAATTCATCGCGAATGTGTTTATTTTACTGTTTTCGTTTCAGGGCCGAAAGACTGGCAGTGGTGGGAAGACAAAGTCCCGAGTAAACTGAGAGACGCTTACAATAGCGGTTATAAGATTGTGTTTTTCACAAATCAAGCTGGAATTGAGAAGAAACATGTAGCCCCGAAGGAGATTTGTACAAAATGTGACGACATAATAGGGAAGCTTGGAATCCCAGTACAGGTAGGAATGATTTCACTTTATATACGATACTTCAACGTGACAAACTTTTGAAATAATGAATCTACCAACATGTCTGCTGTGAGTGTCTAGACAGTAATCGGAACAAAAAACAAATGTAGCAGATAACTTAATCTGCATATGTAAGAAGATTACTAATCATGTAATCAAGATGTAATCAAATTACTAAAACTCTCACATGAAAAAAAATGCTTACTCACTCAGTAACAAAAATCGTGACGATAGCTCAGTCCGGAAACGCCCACCTGCCCTAACCGGCAAAAACAGTATACCATTCATAAATAGAAAAACAAAACAATAGTCGCCAATTTCACGAGCGGAGAGGGCGCTTGTGCAAGCACTGGCATACTAACTCGAGGGGTCCCATTTCCCAGTTGTCCGCCTTATATTAATTGTATGGGGGTTATAAGTGTTTTGATAAACGTTATAGTCTAGTCTGTGATGCTTTAAATTATTTTGTGTAGTATTTAATATTTTGAATATTCAGGTTCCGACTGGTTTTGCACTTGTTCCGAATTTCTAGTCCGGCAGTAATGTAACAATTCCCAGGGCCGAATTGCCGGAACAAAGGCGAACTTTTGATGAACCCATGTGCATCGTCAAAGGCGCTAATAATTAGTAGAAACTAAAATTCGTAAAACAAAATTGAAATAGTAAGGCATATACCATCTGATATGTCGCATACTAGTCTGATTAAGTCTTAAAAGTATAATCTCAGATGGTGTCTTCCGTGATGTATCTTTTTAGGTTTTTATGTGTACGGGACAAAACGAATTCAGGAAACCATGTGCTATGGTATTCGATCACATGGAAACCCAATGCAATGACGGTATTCCTGTAAATCGTAAGAAGTCGTACTACGTAGGTGACGCAGCTGGTCGGGCTAAGAACTGGGCACCGGGTAAGGCGAGAGATTTCTCCTGCAGCGATAGGATGTTTGCAGCAAATTGCGGATTGAAGTTCTATACCCCAGAGGAGTACTTCCAAGGTGGGGAGCGTTTACGAAAGTTTCAATGGAGAACTCTGAACCCTACAAAAGAACTGAAAAACGCCGCTAGTCGAGTACCAGAGACGTATCATACGAAGGTAAGTCACCGTCCTTCATTGGGACGGTGGGTAAGTGGAGTCGCCACTACGACGCTATGACCTTTGTTAGTCCTGTTTTACGTTCGATTTCACGCATGGCGTGGGATCTCGCACGGCAGTGAACGGAAAATGGTCTATTATACAGTATTATACGCATACATATATTTAAAAAGTTACGGCATATGTCAGGAACAATTCTCTCTTAACATTCTATCTTCTGTCATTTCCCACAAACAGAAGCAAGAGATGATAGTCATGGTTGGTTACCCGGCATCCGGGAAGAGCACGTTTAGTAGAAACTACCTGGTGCCGCATGACTATGAAATCGTCAACATGGATACTCTAGGGACCCAAAGTAAATGTAAGAAATTAACAAATCAGGTCCTGGAAGCTGGTAAAAGTGTCGTTATTGATAATACCAACCCACATAAATATATACGAAAAGACTATATGGATCTGGCCAAAGCTTATGGTGAGTTCATGCAATTATTGTCATAAAGAGTTATAGTACTTATACAATGACTGGGGGAATACCCGAGCATTTTGTTCATAATGATATGTTCTTAAATTTGGCAATGGTACAGTGGTTAGCTTGTTTATCTCGCATCACGGGGGGTTCTGGGTTCGATCCTCTCAGTCGACTGTATAAATTAGAGTACAGTCTAGCCCTGCCTTCCAATCACGTGGTATTTGTATAGGTACGGGAGACTGGTTTGCACGCATGCAATGTTATTAGTAATAAGAGATAAAACATCAGGGGAGACAGCAGTGACTTCAATGTCCGGAAATGTCGCCTGACTCATTTTTTTTATATATTTTTTTGCGCGCCAGTGACGTCAGAGTGAGGTATTCACAAATTAAATGCGCATTGAAATGTCAATTTTAAAGCGGGAGGGTTGTCACCTGCGCACGCACGTGAATTGAGCCCCAAGCGACGATAACAACACACGTTAAGAACGCAAAGGCTCATGGGTAGACGCTTATTTGTAAACGATGGCACGCTATGGCCACCTGACGCATGCGTAGGCGGCGACTCCCGCCGCTTTAATATTATATCTGTTCAGATGAAAATTTCTTAATATGCATCAGGGACGGATTTTAGGGCAACACATGTATAATGACGTCATTGTCGCACTGCATTGTGTAAACAAAGTCACGACGGTTTTAGTGGGGCACGCCTCTCTATCTTTGTCTAACTGTCATTCTTTCGTATTATTTCTATAGGGGTTCCCGCTCGTTGTTTCTGGTTCCAAACATCACTAGAGTTGGCGCATCACATGAATCTCTACCGACAGACGCAGACGCGGGGTAAGACGCGTCGTGTCCCGGATGTCGCCTTTAACGTGTTCAAAATGAACTTCAGTGAACCAGAACTAGCCGAGGGATTTTCGGAAATAAAAAAGATTGAATTCATCCCAAAATTTGCCAGTAAGAATGATGAGAGTGTTTTCAAGCAATGGACATGTTGAAATTTGTGCATGAATAGTAGTGACAATAAAACGGATAGAATGTGTGGTGTGAAACCATATCATCGATTCATTCCAATATATTAAAAATCTTCACAAAAGTTACGTCCCTTTTACACACAATGTCAAGATCCGGATAAAGAGTTAAGAACTTCAATTATCGTCGATATATTTCGCTTTTCAGCTTCATCGATTAAATACATGCAATACGCATGCGTAATTTATTTTTCTTGATTGGCTTTCAAAACAAACATAGCGCGCGAAGGCGTAGCTATAATCATTAGAAACATCGTCGGCATTAATGTAACAACGAGTATATGAATCTCGAGATCCCCTATAGCTACTAGTGATAGTCACATAGAAACCATCATTTGACATTTAATTTGTTGTCAAGTAACTTGGTAAATATACTTCTTTCTGTAGTTCAAGTTTCTCTGCTTTTTCAGAATGTTTTAAGTTTTTGTTTATTATTGTTAGAATAACTGGAACACTATGAATACCAGCAGATATACCATGTATCAAAACTAGAACTGCTGTTGTTGTCAGAATGCCTGCACTGATTGTTTCGTTCGCTTTAAATTGTAATTCATAGAATTTTCTGTATCCACTGCAAACTCTTTCCAGGCTACAAATGTTTCAATTGTTTCACTGATCAATATATGTTTATTATATATTGATCAGTGAAACAATTTTTTGATTAATAAAGTTATGAAAGTCAATGCTGATATCCGAAGTTGCCACACCTTATATAAAAAAACCTTTATGTTATATTGCAAACTTATCCCTATTCTCTAGAAGATAATATTTGATAATCGTAGTCCTAAATAACTATTAAAAATAGCTAGACGTTTCGAGCAATGGCTCTTTATCGATAGCATAGAACACTTCATAACACTTTCTTCTTACCAAATATTATCTTCTATATATCATATTTATCAGTCCGAGCAGCGTTTATTTATTTATCCCTATTCTCTGGTGTTTTTCCCGATCAACTAAAAATTGCCAAAATGATCCCCATTTACAAAAAAATGTTCTCCATACATCTCTGGAAACTATAAACCAATTTCTATTTTACCAATTATTAGCAAAATTCTAGAAAAAAATATTAATAAGCAATTACGATCATTCATTGGTAAATATCAATTCATCAATCGAAACCAAAATGAATTTCGTAAGAAGAACTGTAAAAACTTGCCCTCATTGACCTAACTTATGAATTGCTGAATGATATTGATAAATATATTGTTCTGGGATTATTTCTAGACTTCTCAAAGGCATTTGATACTATTAACCACAGCATACTTTTTTCAAAAATTGCAACACTATGGCATCCGTTGAATCACTTTCTGAGAATGGTTCCACCTATCCAATGGTAAAGAGTTCATCATGACAACCGACTTGATCTTATCTACCCTCCCTATAAACTATGGTATTGGGCACTTTATTATTTATTTATATAAATTATATTCCAGCTTCATCCACATTATTTAACTTCAAGCTTTTTGCTGAAGATCCTTTTTATGCTTTGAATAAATTGTCACTGAATACTGCTGATATTGATTCTAATTTGATATACGTCAATAATAGATAAATACATGGTTCACAAAGTTCACAAACATTACAACTAACTAAATCCAAGGAAGATAGTTTCTCCAGAGCTACTGCAATGAACGCAAAAGATATATCCCATCAAATATTTCTTTAAAAACGCTCGTAATTACAGTGATTTCGTTCGCTGAAATAAATTTGAAGAATGCAAGTACAAGTAGTACCATTATCGTTTTGCTCAGAACATTGCGAAATTGCGAAAGCGTGCTTGTGTCAAAGGAGAGGTCAAAGGTTAACTAAGCGCAGTAGAGCCTTATGGGTGTTAATAATAACATTTTATTAGCCTTTAAAACAGCGTAAAAAGTAACATACAAGTCAACAACAACAAGAAAAGAGAAGAAAAACAATATATAAGAAGCATTAATTCATACGTGTAAATCACTCAGTTCCTCGTTTCTGAATTTCCATAGGTGGGTGAGAAAGTTTCGGATTTCGTTTGATGTATTATTTCCCAAATCCTTATTGATTGCCCATAAAGCATCACTGAAGAGAAAATTAAATTTGAAATTAATTCCTCCTGAGAAAAATCTAGTACAATAGTTGGTTCTCCACCACTTTCCACTATTGTATTGGTCAGTGCTGAATAGAATTTACTTCTCAAGTGGTTAGTTGATTTGCAAAGAAATAAAAAGTGATAAACATCCTCCTTTCCATCATTACAAATCTTACATACCCCGTCAGATGCCATGATGATCAAGAGGATCCTTTATATAATTTTCCTTTCATTTGTGTTTAATCCAACCATATAGTGCTTTAGGGATTTCATGTCTTGAATAGTTTCAACAAAACGCTTTATTTCATTTTCTTCACTAATTTTATAGAAACTAATATTATGTGGTCTTTTTATCATCCATACCATTTTGAATTAGGATATTGTTGATATATTTTGGCCAGTTCCAAGCAAGTTTAGCCTTGTTGTAATATGATTAATGTAGTTTAGAGAAAACTATTTTGGCCCACCTGGTATTATTCATCTTTTGTAACCTGTCCAAATACTGTATTCGCGATTTATCGTGAATAAAGTTGATGTCTTGCCATCCTAAATCTCCCAATATTGCTGGGCATGCTACATTCCTATTAACTTTAAAGAGAAACTTGCCAAATTGTTACTGGATGCTTTTAAGTTTGTTATTCACTGTACTTTCTGACAGCCATACACTAGATCCATAGTTAATTGATGGCATGATTATATTTTGCCACAGGACATCACCATATTCAAATCTATTGTAACTGTTAT